CTTTTATTACTATCTCATCTTCCTAGGCAGAAATGTTAATGTTTTATTAATAAAATAGATGACGAGTAAATGTATTTATTAGTTTTTATGCAGGAATTAAAGTAGTCTGAATAATTTCCCTCATTCGGTGTGATCAGGTAAACAATGTTATGCTAGGGGCGTCGTAATGGACATACACATTCAAGTCACAGGAGTGCTTAACAGTGTTCTCACAGATGCTGCCTTAGATTTCGCCTTCGGTGTCCGTTGCTAGAGAATTATTATGTCTCATGTCTGTTCTATGAATCAATCTCTTATTTGACCCCACTACATCATGTGGCTCAAAATGCATGTGCGAATAGGTCGACCTGAATTTGGTTAAGTAAGAAGTGTTGAGTCTTACCCCGTAGTACTTGAGTCTTTGGCTTTATATCTATTAGACTGGACATTGTTTCGTTGGCCACATTTAAAACCCTAATCCGTTTGCAGCTGTGCCTCTGCTTCCCATAACAAATCGACTGATGTAGGATGAAGTGAGCATTTTTTACAGGAGGTTAATTTGGAAAACATAAAAAAATTCACCTTTAGGATTTCAAATCTAAATGCCCAAATTTGAGAGCAAAATGAGAGTTAATTTAGGGTCTCTAATTGAAGCATTGCCAGAAAATTTATGGACGGGTTTTCCATGAGCTCTTAACTAGGTATATCTTCAATCTCGTGCATGCTTAATTCACCACCAGAAATAGAGTGCCCCATCCAAGAGTAGTGTGTAGTCGAAACCTAAGCCTAATCATGGCGATTTAGTGGGATTGGAAACTATCGCCTGCAGCTCAGTGGTCACCTTATGCCAAAAGAATGTTTCTGCATGCGCAAAGAAGTTGTGAGACTAACCCTCGAGGGGAATGCATTTTGCCGATGTAATTATCAGTGATCGGCAGGACTTCTTACTGGTTGTGTGTAGTGAGATGCATGCAATACGAGTTCTCTCTCTTGGATTGTTTGGTATTTGGAGTCTTCTTTGCACTCTAAAGAAGATATGAGGAGATTCGCTGTCACAGTGCTATTGCCCTATGCATTGCCTTCCTCCAGCATCTATCACCTTGGTGCTACGGATATTTGGGGTGGAATACCGTCGGTACTCAAATGATGCCCAGTAGTATTTTTATGGTGTTATCGGTATGCGAGCTAGCATTATTAAAGTTGGGTTAGGGCTAGGGTTTGGTGGTGACATCACCGAAGAACTAGTAGACATTCATAAGGTAATTGATCTGTGTGACATGACGCAGCTGATAATGCATGTGCATGCATGCTGGTAGTTTGCTTGATCTGCGCCGAAGAATAATATTCTTATCCGCGCTTTCGTTCTGGAATAAAAACAACTTAGTTAAGGAAAATTATATGTCCATTTAAGGAAAAACGTAATGCAGTCAATTGATTTATTATGTATAAACAGCGAAAAATGCAACCTATGCTGCGAAGTCAGTAGCAGAGTATACAGTGCGCTCCACAATTTGTGCAAAACGACCAGCTAATTGTTACTATGATACTACTGAAATGGTAGCAGTAGCAACAAAGAGAAATCTAGCAGCGTTTTTGAAAAAAGACCAAATAAATTGCTGTTATGAAAACATATGCTTGTTTGTATGCTGAAATAATTGTCCATTCATAATTTCCACTAGAGAAGATTCAGTATTCTGAAAAGCACTGCTAACTTGGCAGTGGTAAAATTTCTAGCAACGCTAGAATCTATTTATTTGGTTATAGTAGATACCTACTACACAGTGGCAACCAAAGCGTGGCCATGTAAATCGATACCTTATCAGTTTTATCGGACGGTCCAAGAATGTGGTAAGCGTAAAAACGAGTTTTTTTCTGATAGCAAGCAATAAAAGTACACATGTAGTTGCGGATGATGTTTAGGAAGTATTTATCTGACTTCCAGTAAGCGCAATGATAGTGTTTCAAAGCCCTCTGTTACTTCAAGTCCTAATATCAAACCCGGAATTTACATTGTCCTCGCCTGGGAAAGGTAGAACAAAGCAGGAAAATCCGCAACACCATTGAATAATAGTACGTATGCAACCAAAAATCGACTAGAAATATCGTTGAAGAATTAGTGAACTCACTCTTATGAAGCGTAGAAATGTGCGTTTATACCTGCTCGACTGGAGAAGGCTTTACTACACATCTGGCAAGTGAACGGCTCCCTTCCTAAAAGTTGTGAAAAAGTAATAACAAGCAAATTGCAGCTAAGTATTCAGAT